CACTTTATTTCTCCCACTGATTACGAGTTCAAAATATCTTGTTAAACTCCTTTCAGGAAATTCTTAATCGTTAGAATATACCAAGTCAAATTGTGTTAAACACAAATAGATAAAGTTTTTACAAACGTTACGTGTTCAAATACAAATAAAAACATTGCGTAATGTGTTCAAAGTAGATGTTAATCTTATTATACGAAGCTCTTCGCTCTATAGAGCAGACAGTTTTGAGAAATAATAGTAGATACAGGCCGTTTGTTCTCTTCTTTAACTCATGTGTCCCAGGTTAGTCTTTTTTAAGGCACGTATAACTCCAGAGAAATTTAGAAAAAAATCCTTAGATGTTAAACCTGAAGAGTTGAAAAACAAAATGTTTAATGGCTCTATTGCTTTGCATCTCCTGAGAGAGCAAAAGAAATGCGCGAAACGCGTCGCTCTTTCAGGATTGCTTTGTATCTGCTGAAAAAGCAGAAGAGTTGAACGAAACATGTCACTTCCTGTGTATCACTTTGTATCTACTGAATAAGAAGAGGAGTTGAACGAAACATGTCACTTCCCGTGTATCACTTTGTATCTACTGAATAAGAAGAGGAGTTGAACGAAACATGTCACTTCCTGTGTATCACTTTGTATCTACTGAATAGTGAAATAGTGGTAACTTTACAGATTTACAACGCTAAAATTCGGGGTTCGATTCCCCGCGGTGGACACAGCAGATAGTCCATTGTGGCTTTGCTCTAACACAAACAACAACAACTATAACTCGTGAAATTAGTACAGTAACTTTAAAACTGGAATAATAAGACAAGACATGGTGAAACCTTTTTGAACCAATGTAACCTATTATATTTCATATTATAGCTTACACAGTTGGAAGGCGAGGGTGACTAGAGTGCTTCTGGTTATTACTAGAAACCTGGGCCGTTTTAAACGCTCTAACAAAGTAGATGAGTATAAATATGGCGCATAAAGAAACTACGCCAGACTAGAAATGTATTATCTAAATGAAAAAGGTCGTGACCTTAAAACTGGGTAGTTTTAGTCATTACAAAAGATTATTAAAAAAAAATGTTTAACAGAAATATACATATGCAATATCCATATGCTCACGTGGTGTATTAGAATATACATATATTTGCTATCAGTCTATACAGGTACAGCAAAATGTGTATTCATCCAATAGCAACTGCCGTCTCTCTAAGCTCTCAAACAGTGAAACAGAAGTACTGACTCTCTTCTTTACCTCCGACAAATACAATACTTGCGCGAATATACGGAGTCTCCTCACGTCTGTCTCTGTCAAATATATATCCTTTTTTTTATTCGTCACGTGACTGCAGCTAATTCCGCAGATGCCCTGAGCACTAATATGTTGCATGTCCTGTAACAAGTGAGGAATATTTACTTGTACTTCATGTACATCCAGTGTTTACTATAGGGAACTGACTGGCATCATAAGAAATAAAATGATATGCGGTATTTGGTAGAGTACACTCTTCTATACAAATATGTGTGCACGTGTAGTTAAAGTAAATAGTACTAAAATACATGAAGACTTGTATATTGTTGTAGAATACAAAATGTGCTAAACAAATAATTGAAAGTGTTACTGTATAATAATATATATATGCTTAACCAATTATTGAACCAGAGAAACATTATTGTACAGTGTAAAATGTGCTTAACCAAACGTTGAAACAGCTAAAACATTATTGTACAGTACAAGGTGTGGTTACCATTACTGTAAAGTAGATATGCTTTAAATAGAATAAATAATAAATCTTAAAGATAAACGTTAAGAGCGTTTAATTTTGCTGATTGTATTTGAAGCTGAAAGAAATTGAAGATAAAAATGTTTTTTTCTCTGTGTTAACGTTGTCCTTCAACCGACGACATGCAGGCGTTATCAAATCTATTAATTAGTTGTCGTTGTTAATTAGTCACTAATTACCAATTAATTTTCTCGCTCTTTAGAAAGACAGGCAGATTATCCACTCGTACAGGTGCTCACTCTACCAAGATGTACAGAGATCAATACTGGAGGATCTCTCATATGTCTGTCGTGGCCCTGAACTTTGACTTATTTAAAGTTCACGTTCACAAGAGATATTGAAAATGATGTTTCTGCTCTCTGTTGAATCTTTGAGTAGATTGGTACATGCAACTGAAACTCTGTTGTTTTATGACTTCTGAATACTGTTTTGACCATATGCAAACACTTTGAATATTTTCCAAGAGAGAACTTTGACATAAGGGAATAAGTTTGAATTGATGTATTATTTTGTTCTTTATTGTTGGCATTGATCGTACTATTTCCTTCTTTAACAACTGTCCCGGATATCCATTGTCAAGGACGATCCAAGTGATGTTGTTTTTTCATTCGTCTTATTGCCTTCTTTACACTGTTGGGGCGGTTTCATTTATTTAATCAAGATATTTACCATTATCTATGTTTGTGGTGTAGAGTCATATGTCTTGGTGATCATAACGTATGTGAGTGGTAGCTTGCTATCTTTTTCTGTTCACTTTCTATCGTAAGTTATACTGTTAATCTTTTTCTGTTCTCTTTCCATCGTCAGTTATACATATTATTGATCTTTTTTTTTCTGTTCACTTTCTGTCGTAAGTTATAATGTTAATTTTTTCTGTCTACTTTCTATCACAACATATATTGTTTTTTTTTTCTGTTCACTTTCCATCGTCAGTTATATTGTTGATCTCTTTCTGTTCACTTTCTATCGTCAGTTATATTGTTGATCTTTTTCTGTTCACTTTCTGTCGTAAGTTATATTGTTTTGTTTTTCTGTTCACTTTCCATCGTCAGTTATATTGTTTGTTTTTCTGTTCACTTTCTATCGTAACTTATAATGTTAATTTTTCTGTCCACTTTCTATCGTAACCTATATTGTTTGTTTTTCTGTTCACTTTCCATCGTAACTTATATTGTTGATCTCTTTCTGTTCACTTTCTATCGTCAGTTATATTGTTGATCTTTTTCTGTTCACTTTCTGTCGTAAGTTATATTGTTTTGTTTTTCTGTTCACTTTCCATCGTCAGTTATATTGTTTGTTTTTTCTGTTCACTTTTTATCGTAACTTATAATGTTAATTTTTTCTGTCCACTTTCTATCGTAACTTATATTGTTTGTTTTTTCTGTTCACTTTCCATCGTAACTTATATTGTTTGTTTTTTCTGTCTACTTTCTATCATAATTTATGTTGTTGAACGTTGTCTGTTCAGGTGGTTCATGAAATCCACTTTGTTGAAATTTGCGATGTTACAAAAGAACATTATCCTTCTGTACAGAGAATTATACCAATGTTTTTTTTTACTAATTTCATTGAAAAGCGTGACATATAAGCACATTTCTATTTAACTCTTCCAAACCACCATGAGTAGACCAATCAAAGTAGATTTTTTACCCTATGATTGTAATTTGTTTGACATAAAAATAAATGGCTACCATAATATGTTACTTTTTTCTCGTTAAGTTGGTAGGGGGGGGGGGGGAAGGATACAAAAAGAAAAGCAAAAACTAATGTTTTTGTAAATATAAAGTAAATGAATAGACATATAATAATAAAAAATACTCAATAAATTGTAAAACATTAATCCTGTAATTAAATTATACAAACTAACGCAATAGAGAGAGAAGTTATAGAATTTGATGAATAGCGCTTAGAAACAAATCAGTACGCTGGTAGGCCAGCTGAAAAGTTACGGTTTTACAGCGCAAAAATCCGGGGTTCGATTCCCAGCAGTGGACACAACAGATAAATCAATGTGACTTTGCGCTAACACATAAACACACCACAGAAACGTTTCACACACATACATCAATTTAAGAAACAAGCAATCAGAATAAATAAAATTAAACCCTAAGAGCTAGTCGAAAAATATAAGATAAATTCAAGTACAGAAGTGATCACGGTAATAAACTGGCTTGATAAATGATAAATATAACTAATTTGGTTGTTCGTTGAAAGTTGCGCAATGTTACTCAAGAACTATCTGCGTTAGCCGTCCCTAATCTTAAAATGACAGACTAGACAAAAGGCAGCTAGTCAACACCACTCACCGCTCAACCCTTGTAATACTATTTACCAATTAAGAGTGCGATTTACCGTCATATTATAACGCCTCGAAAACTTAAAGGACGAACATGTTGAGTGAACTGAAGGGTTTCAATTCTGCGACCTATAGTTTACGAGTCGAGCGTCATAACCATCAGGTCATGCTAGGCCAAATTCTCTAATAGTAGTAACAGAGACTAACCTATCTAAACTGACAATGTCGTGGTACTATATAATAGAACGTTATATAACATCCAGTAACTAACGATATATAACGCTAACGGTTGCCCGACACACTAAACATTATAAAATACTTTTTTTATGGAACAAAAACCTAATATTTAAGGAATTTCTGCCTGGTAACAATGGTTTTGAAAAGTTCGTACTACACTGTAAGTTTTTAATCCATAAAGCAGTGGTGCGCAAACTTTTTTTATGGCGCCCCCTCCCTTTCAAATACGCATCTTGTTTTTACCCTCCTCCCGCACCCCTCATAACTTACTTGTGTATACACTATACATGTCATTTTCCTGTATTAATTATTGTTATATTACTTAATGATATTAATATTTGTACGGTGGCTCATAAAACCTTTTTTTTAATTGGAAATTTGTATTTTCAGATATAATTTACGTGCTCTTATAGTCATAGTTGTGCACCACCCCTAAAGACTCTTCGCATCCCCCTGGGTGGTTAGGAGGGTGCCCCATCGTTTGCGCACCACGACCATACACAATGAAAATATCAGTGTTGAATTTACCACAAAGTTTAATAAACTCGATGTTCAAAATACGGTATAGGACTTGCTTCTGAAAAACGATAACATAAAGTAGTGGAGATTTTGATATATAAGCTGGATTACCAATCTCTCTAACGGCATTGCGCTTACTCAAGCAGATTTAGTGATATTTTCTTTTGCTTTCCGACCAGCGGTTCTTGTTACAGAGGGGGCAGGATTCACGGCAAGTCACGTGGTTAAATTACTTCTGGAAGAAGGTTATCGAGTTCGAACAACCGTTTCGGATTTACAGCAAGAACTTCAGCTTCGCGCTTCCTGTCCTGATGGTTACTCTGGTCTGGAGGTTATGGAGGCTGGTTTGTTTCAAGACCAAAACTGGGACGGGTAAGTTTTTCCTATGAAAAAAAAAAAGAACATCTCTTCATTGTTGACGAAAGTGATATTTTAGATGCATTATTCCAATACAGTGGATACTAATCAGAATACAAGACCCCCCCCCCTCCACCCCTCACGATAATAAATTACCATGGATCTTGATAAAATCTGTTTATTTCCAAACAGTTGAAATTAACGTAATTTCTTATCAACTGTTTTGTATATATTTATAAAAGCAAAACCTACATTTATTCGTATAGAACAATAAAAGTTAAATGTTGGTGAAGAAGGGAAGGTGTTATGCAGCTTGCTGTTGCTAAAATCAACCATAAATTCTAAAATCTAGAACAATGCTAACAAGAGTGGTTCCAGCCTTTTTCCGTGAGGGGGCTGAGGTAGGCTAGACAAAAAAAAATAAATAAATAAAATATGAGATGACTGTACTATTTGCCTGACAAGCATATACACTGAAGTATTTAGGAAGTATTCAGATTTAAAGTTAAGCACTTGTGTTTACATCAAATATCGCCTATTTCAAATATATAAAACGATGTTTATATTAAGTATTACACTTTAAAATCTGTTACGCCAAGAGTTTACATCAAATGCCGCTAATTTCAAATATATAACACAATATTTATATCAAATATGATATAAGTTCAAATACGACAAGCACAATTCATATTTCAAATATAAAAACGAGCACAAAATCGATATCAAATGTTAAGATATAACCACGAAGTTCTATCAAATATTTTCTATTTCAAGGAAATAACAAGCACAGTGTGTATATATCAAATATAACATAACAAGCACAGTGTGTGTATATATATTATGACATAACAAGCACAATGTGTATATATATCAAATATGACATAATAAGCACAGTGTGTATATATCAAATATAACCTAACAAGCACAGTGTGTATATATCAAATATAACATAACAAGCACAGTGTGTGTATATATATTATGACATAACAAGCACAGTGTGTATATATATCAAATATGACATAATAAGCACAGTGTGTATATATCAAATATAACATAACAAGCACAGTGTGTATATATCAAATATAACATAACAAGCACAGTATGTGTATATATATCATGACATAACAAGCACAGTGTGTGTATATATATTATGACATAACAAGCACAGTGTGTATGTATCAAATATGACATAACAAGCACAGTGTGTGTATATATATTATGACATAACAAGCACAGTATGTATGTATCAAATATGACATAACAAGCACAGTGTGTATATATCAAATATAACATAACAAGCCCAGTGTGTATATATCAAATATAACATAACAAGCACAGTGTGTGTATATATATTATGACATAACAAGCACAGTGTGTATATATCAAATATAACATAACAAGCACAGTGTGTGTATATATATTATGACATAACAAGCACATTGTGTATATATCAAATATGATGCCACTACTATTAATCATTTTGGAAACATTAGAACGTCAGAATAACAAATAAGCAGATGGGCAGAACTGAGAACTAGAAACGAGGATAGCTAATAACGTATTTTTGAATTACCTCATGAAAACTACATCTAGCCCAAGAGCCAGGACCATAAATTTTAATTTTGAAATTTATATTTTCAGATATAATTTATATGCTCTTGTAGTCATCGTTCTGCACCACCTCTACCGACTTTCCGCACCCCGTATGGAATTGGAATCCCTAATTAAAACCAACATGAGTAATAAAAGCTGAACGGACAGTTGTTTCTCACATAAAACAAAACCGAAGGATTTAAATGATAATTTCATGATTTTAGAAGGGTAATTCGTTAAGCTCTTTCACTGTAAAAAGTTTTACTATATATATATCACTATGTTAATTCCCCATTCTTATGTTATCCTACTGCAATTGTGTATGAGTTGTAGTAGGGTAACATAAGAATAGTGACGACTTTATAAATTCCACAGGTTCGTCATATTTCCTTCTTTATCAAACTCTTTCTGCTCACCATCACATATTTGAAATCTAGAACAAGCTACCCTCGTTGTTTATCTAGAGTCAAATATTACAAAACCAAATGCTATCACCTAAAATTCCGCGACGCAGATTAAATAAAACAGTCACTTAGGGTAAAAATGTCAGGGTTTTTGCTTTAGAATACCTAAGAAAGTCTTGGACAAAATTATGCTTAAATAGTAGGTTTAACATTAGAGAATTGATTGAAAATTAAGGTAAGAGATTTTATATGATCTCCGATGTAATAATCGCTGCTGTACAACACTATCATGAAGAAGAAATTAGGTACCGTCGTTAACTTGTTACTATTTTTGCTCAATCCACAATAGTTCTTATGCACGTTTTTGTTGTTTGTTTGTATTGTTTAATCAATACTTATTTGATTATGACTCTGAACAATCTAGATTCCGTAGAAGTTTCAAGGACTTGGAGTAGTCCAACTAGAGAGTTAAAGGATAATACATTAATTAATTAAAAACATCGTTATATATATAAAACAAAGTGAAATGTCTAACTCTCGAATACTGCGTTAGCTTCCAACGTGCTTCTAATCTCACAGTTGGTTGACGTATTCATGCATGTGCAGTATACTATCTCTCCTTGTACCTACAAGAGAATTTTCTACCATCATTACTCTAGGGACCTATAAGATGCTTCAACACATTGACCAATTAAAACAAAAGTTATAATTTCTTAACAAATAACCTGTTATTGGCTTCTACAGTCAATATAGGCGTGGCCTAAAGTATCGTGATCAGAGGAGAAAATCCGAACTTGCTGTTCATATTATAAACATACCTGTTTACATTCAAACAACGGTTTTTTTCACTATCACATGCAAAATAATGTTGTTGTTGTTTTTACAAATGGTTGTTTTTTAAATATATTCTTCCTTTATAAATACATAAAAATGTTTGTAGTTCGTAATTACATAAATAGGAGAAAAAATTAGAATTTTAACAGAAAGTATAGATCGTTGGTTATTCGTAGAATAGCTATAAGAAGTATCCAAAACAAAATAAATACTGCAATCAACAGTACACAAACAAGTCATCTGATACTAGTCGGATATATTTTAAAACGATTTTCAATCCCTACTTTGGTTGGCATTGTGATCCGTATAACTAAATGAAGCAGTCTAAATTTGCCAACCAAAGTAGAGATTGAAAATAGTTCTACAATATATCTAACTAGCATCACTTTATTTGTTTCTGTACTTTTTATTGCAGCATTTATTTTGTTTTGGATACTTCTTATAGGAATTATACGAATAACCAACAGCCCCTATTTTCCGTTAAAATGTTATTTATTTCTTTAGTTTTTATATATCCATGGAATGGACACAACATCTATAAACTTTCAGTATATCCATATCTCTGATAGCTATAACTTTTATAAGAATTAAAATCACGATCACAAATTTATAAAATGTATTCCTTACTTTGGCTTTCAGATAAATGTATAAAGCTGCCAAAATAGAGATTATATTTATAAATTTGTGATTGTCGTTTTAATTCCTGTTTCATTTCTTTTGGTAGCAAGATCCCTATTTCATTTTAAAATTCATAATTTTTTAATACTCTTGTTTGTTTACATTTTATGTTATACCTGTATAAGGTATACACTTTACCTTTAGAAACTGTCGCATGTCTATCCATCGATATGTAGCGCCATCTGTTTGTTGAATTGGGTTTTAAAAGTTTTTAAGTTCGTGCATGATATATCTGGAGATATTTATCGGAATATCAAAGTGGATACCTACAAACCAGCTGGAGAAATGTTGTAGCGACAGTCCTAACCATCTAGGGGCTAGCCCCGCTGACGTGATCAGGTAAGTAAATAGGTAGTAGACGAAAAAATTACTGTTTTAGAAATTTTTGAATTGTTGTACTGGAAATGTTTACGATCTTTTTTAGCGTATCATTAGTATATATATGTACATAATATCGCGTAACCAATACTTTGAATAGTCGGTTTTTTGCTTAAGAATTCAATAGGGTAGTTTTTCGGTACGTTAATTATTTGGAAACCTCGTCGATCCCTACTATTAAGTACGACCGTACTTAATAATATTTTTGTTAAGCCTTATTTGGGAAAAATATATATGTTTTACTATATACCTATGCATATTCTAGCACGTCTGTTTACACATAATAGTCGTCTATAAATGTTCTCCACTTCCAAAGATCCGTGAAAGTTAATGAATAAACTAATTTCTCTTGCTCTCACCAATTCAAAAATGTTTTATTAAATATTTTGTTCTGAAATTAATAATCGTAGGCACTACATTATGTTCGAATTTAATTTCAAAAATAAGTAAAACGACATATCACACTAAACCATCGTGGGTCTTTTCTTGTGATAAATATTCACTTAAACATTTTATAAGGCGGAGAAATTCTTACTAGTGTGAGACGTTGTTAAGCACCAACAGACGTTTATGATAATAAAAAAGGGATATTTCACAGTCGAACCAATTCGATTATAAAGTAAGATTGGCAAGGGACTTCAGTTTAGTGTTTATTACTCCCGTTGTTTCTTAAGACTGTAAACACGTGAACACTACTTCAATGTACAAAGTTCTCCATATATAAAATTTATGTCTAAAGTCGTGGGTAAGCTGTAAGTTAACGGACTTACAATGCTAAAATCCATGGTTCGTTTGCCCGTGGTGCAGATAGCTTACTGGGTAGGTTTGTAGGCATGTGACTAGCCAAGTTAGGAAAAAGATGCTCATGCGATTATATATATATATATATATATATAGTTTCGAACTTTTGGTCAAATGTTAATACTGTATACCACTTATAAAGAGAAACTTTTATTTCTTATCATTTATTTAGAGTGGTTAAGGGGTGTAGATATGTTATCCACGATGTATCCACCATACCCATCCCAGAATCTCTTGAAGAGGACTTCGTCCAGCTTCATGTTGAGTGTATAAGACGACTACTTCAGGCATGCGCAGATGACGGCCATATAAAAAGAGTCGTACTAACGAGCTCAGTCAGTGCCATTCACGGTAGAACAATTTTCTTTGTAATAAAAGATGTTCGTTAATGCATCATTTAAAACAACATACTGTTTCATATTTAGGAAGAGTGGTAGGTGGGTTTTTATAGAGATCAGTTATCACTGATGTATTATTTGCTTTGTAATAAAAGATGTTCGTTAATGCATCATTTAAAACAACATACTGTTTCATATTTAGGAAGAATGGTAGGTGGGTTTTTATAGAGATCAATTATCACTGATGTATTATTTGCTTTGTAATAAAAGATGTTCGTTAATGCATCATTTAAAACAACATACTGTTTCACATTTAGGAAGAGTGGTGGGTGGGTTTTTATAGAGATCAATTATCACTGATGTATTATTTGCTTTGTAATAAAAGATGTTCGTTAATGCATCATTTAAAACAACATACTGTTTCATATTTAGGAAGAGTGGTAGGTGGGTTTTTATAGAGATCAATTATCACTGATGTATTATTTGCTTGTTACTTTCTATTTTAGCGCAAAGCTAAACAATAAGCTATCTCGACGTTGTCCACCACATGTAATCGAACCTCGGATTTTAACGTTGTCACTGGTGTAATTAAAGACTAAATTTATTTTTAGTGAATTTTTGTTTCATAAGAATGACTATTATTATAGAAATTTCCACAAAAACGTTTCGATAGATAAAGTGTTATCAGGTCATTGATCCCTGGTAATTTTCCAAACTTACAACACTAGAATCAGAGGTTTGATTCCCCGTGGTGGACAGAGTGCAGATAGCTTATTGGTAGCTTCGTGCTTTAAAAAAAGGAAAAAAAACAGGTAAAAAATTTGAATAAACTTTCATATAGAACTAATGTTAAGTTAACATCTAGTCTGTAACTCAGAGAGACATTTTTGGTGGGTTGATTCCCAAACAAAGCCTCTGGTATTACTATTAATTCTGAATAGGTATTTGAACTCCTTGCAATATATGTAATCTGAACTGCCCAACAGCGTGGCTAAACTATTAGTTTCCAGGCTGTGAGGAGTAAACTCATGCCCCAATCCAAAATACCACACAAAACACGGTATTGGCCGTACAAATTACACAATATAAGATCTGGTTCCTCAACTATATAAAGACGTTCTATCCGCGGTTTTTCCTGTTTTCTCGATATAAGATGCCAATAAAGGCTCAACGAAGCCCACTTTCCGCTATAAAGTGATTAAGTGCGATACATGTCTGAACATGAATACTTCTACTATTATATGCAAGAGAAACACAGTCCTGCCAACCACCTAAATTCTACATTTTTGTGTCCGAAAACTCTTGAGAAGTGAATGCTTCTGGCAGTAAAGTGTGTTGTTTTTTCAGGTTAAAAGGTCGATCCCTTTATCGGAGTACTTTTTCATATTTTAGTTCCAATTTGGATATTAAGAATCGTGTCACCCACACTTTAGCCTCCCCAACCCCCCCCCCCCCCCGAATTCTATCTCATCGTTTCGCCTACTGTGTGTTAAAATTGATTTCAAACTGGCCCTAAACGGACTACAACTGATATGCCATTTTTACTGAAAAACTGTGATGGGATTGTTAAAAATCATTTGTGGTATTACTGTTGTACTACACCAACAGAAACAATGTAAATCTCGTTGAGAGTGTTTTTGGTGTGCGGGAAGCAATCAGCCACCACATTTCACAAATAACACTTTTATTTTATAAATTAAACATGTAAAAAGAGAAATAAAAAGAAATCAGAAAAAAAATAAACTACAGTCACAAAAATAATAACAATAAAAGCTAGAAGCCAAGAATTGACTCAAAATTTACCAAAAATATATGGAGATCTTCAACCTGTGAATAAGCTGTTGGACCGTATCGCAAGCCTCTAACTTCATAAATGTCATCATTTCTACTAGTTTATCCAATAACAATCAGGCAAACCCCGTTAGTGATAGCGCTATATCGAGTGACTATTATGTCAGTCACCTCACAAAATCAATTTGGTGGTCCACAAGATCTGACAAACCAACAACAAAACAAAGAAATCATTTATCAAAAACAGTTGGAGAGGTTAGAAACTTAATGTCACTTTTGCAGGTAGGATATAGCAGACTGAATGAAATGAAAAGCAGATGAATACATGAAAGATTTGATCAATTTAAATTCACATAGAAGGATATACTGTATGGTACAAGATACCACCTAGTGGTACTTTATCACATGTTCTAGCTGAAATAGCCTTTATGATTCGTTTCATTTACAGTATACATCATATAAGTTGTTTAAAAACTTTAATGGGCAGATGAAATTTGCCCATCAGTAGAAGTGTTGTCATAACGTTTCTGAATACTTTCTACCTCTAACAACAAGCATTAAACACGCCCAACGACCTGCAATATCTTTATTCGTATATGTTTTGAAGATATATAAAAATAATAATGTTAATTAAGATCTCGTTTTATAAACACTGTGATTTATAAACTTATTTAAACGTAAATACGACAAGTGAAACGTTAAATAAGGTCATTTCAATAATGGTTGACAGATCAAAGTTCTCCAGAGCCACCATTTACAGATGAAGAAGAAAAAACAAAAATATACAGTGAAGCTGACTGGAGCCATGCTGACTCGCCAGGTCTTCAGATCTTTGCCAAAATCATCACGTTGGTCGAGAGAGCAGCGTGGGACTTCGTAAGAGAACTGCCAGGTAGAGCTTCTTAAAATAAATGTTTCTTTTTAAACGGTAGACTTATGTAAATGTTATAAGATCGTGAAGGAGAAGTTGAGATATAGCTTAGAATATACAAGACAATCTATGCTTAGGTAGGTTGTTTAGGCAGGGTATTCATGATGAGATTTAGTTTAATGGACGGCAACTGCCTTTTGCAGGAACACAAGTGTTAGACGACGACGTTTCGAAACGTCGTTCTCTATACTTGTGTTTCTACAACAAACAGCTGCTGTCCATTCAACTAAATTTCTTTCAACAATATATGCATTTAATAATTTATATGAATCAGTCATTAGTAGCCGCTTTTTTTTTTAAAGAATGCAACAATAATGTATTGTTACTATTTAGTTCTTTTTCATGATCAGTGTTGTGAAAAAATGTATAAATCCATTCGTGTTGGAACAGTTGATCTTGAAGTGTGATATCCACTGTCTTATATGATTATGTCCAACAATGCCGATAACAATAAGGGTACCCTGTTGATGAATCAATGGATTCTAGTCCTTCCAGGTTTTTGTTTTATGACATTCCATATTTTTAGTGAGACTAATATATCAAATCACTTGCATTAATTACTAAGTTAATATTTAGTTCTGATTTATGTAGACATCTTGCTTTGATCAGAAGGTTTAATCATTTTGAAAGAAAAAAAAAACATTTTATCTTGTGTGACAGAGACACTGTGACATGAAAATAATGAATGTTCGTAAGCCTAACCTAGTCTAAACAGGTATGATTTTACTAACCGTATCTAACTTCAGTATAATACACCGTACCACCAGTTTTGGCCAATTCGAGATTGTTGCGCATTTTTTGAGACTGTGAAGATCTAAACAAACATAGAAACTCCATCATTAAACAGTAAGATGGAGCTTAAGGTTACCTTCAAATTTCAACGGAAAAAGTGAAACGGGAAAAACTCGTTTTAGTATTTCTTTAAATATTTAATTAATTATTTAACCTTCCAATGTTTCCTTAAAGAAAGGGTGACTAAGATTTCTCCTAGTACCTTTGGGTGTTACGTTAACCTCAAATCATTCAATATAAGAAGAACAGTTACATCATCCAGTTTATTAGTAAAAAAATATCATAATCTGCTTCAAATTTATCTATGCTGATAAAAAAGTACATCATATTTTTAAAATAGCTGCACAAAGCTGTATCTATAAATGTTAAAAAAATCCACTTGATTGTGAATCATTTCTGATTCCAGCATTTCTTAACTGGGGGTTGGATGTGGTGATATATAATGGGACTAAACCTAAAATTGGGTCAATGGTACCCATTGTTAATGTCAATCAATTTTTCACACACGTGTACAGTCATTGTGCACAGTATAGGCCCGGCATGGCCAGGTGGTTATGGCACTCGACTTGCAATCGGAGGGTCGCGGGTTCGAATCCCCGTTACACCAAACATGCTCGTCCCTTTCAGCCGTGGGGGCGTTATAATGTGACGGTCAATCCCACTATTCGTTGGTAAAAGAGTAGCCCAAGAGTTGGCGGTGGGTGGTGATGACTAACTGCCTTCCCTCTAGCCTTACACTGCTAAATTAGGGACGGCTAGCGCAGATAGCCCTCGTGTAGCTTTGCGCGAAATTCAAAACAAACAAACAAATTTGTGCACAGTATAAAAAAAAACTGCTTGAGAAACGCCTAACAATTTCGGACATGTTTATGTCAGATGTACAAAATGTCTTTATAAAGGTGAAATGAGAGACCACAGCTACGACTGACATCATATTTAATATTCGTACGTTTCTCGATATACATGTATCCCATCATCAGCGATCTGTAATATAGCTAAGATGGTACTAATACATACTTACTAATGGGGATTAGTAAGTTGGGGATTAGTTGTTTTCATTAGAAACATCGAGGTAATTGAACAAAATTAAAGAAAAAAAACAGTATACAAATATCATAACAAATATTTCACATATGCACTAACAAAACAAAAATCTAAATATTGATAGTTTATACGAGCTCTGTTTATTGTTAAGTTTTGGATGTTCATTGGATATTAACATACTTTCTTTTATAAGCAACTCCTGGTTTCAAGAACCTGGTGCCAAAATTCTGAAGTTATTTATAGAGGTACCACGTTTCTACACCTCCCTCTGGAGTTGTATATGACAGGGAGATGAATTTATTACTTTTGGACCGGATCTATTTATGATATTCACGTATGTTCATAGGAACGTCTTAGTAATTGGTGTTTTGTCTTGCCAATATAGGTGGCCATGCTGTCATCACAAATATAATGATAAACGGCCAGTGGACGTACTATTTTAGGGAGTATATCTTTGTGATGGAACATTTTGCAAATTGGAAAAGTAGATTTGTAAGAATGCATAAGTTAATTTGGCGGTAAAAGCTCATAATTAATTATTTTTTTAACTTGAGAGTTTACAATAATGTCCTGTACTCCCTAAAAATGAAAGGATTAAAATTAGCGGAAATTTGGAAATAGTATTCAGTTTCTTTGCGGGAGCAATTTTGTTGTATTTTTTAGTAAGTGTTCAGAAAACGCTAATTATGAGGGAAGGGTAAATTAACTCGAGAATATATTGTTGTGTTGTAACAAATGGCTTATATAAATAGTGTTCATTGTAGAAATGCTAATTCTGAGGAAAGGGTAAATTAACTCGAGAATATATTGTTGTGTTGTAACAAATGGCTTATATAAATAGTGTTTCAAACACTACTGTGTTCATTGTATCCAGTCGGCCAGAAGAGCTTTTGGATTGAGCGAAACACATCGTCGCCACTCTTCTAATTCTTGAAAATACGTAAGGGACTAGATTAGGAATGTAGTGTTAAAAATATAATAAGCTTAACATAATGTCTTATCACAAATATAATTTATTGTATACTCTACTTCAGGGATTTGCAAACATATTTCATTTAAAAGAAATTTGTACAAGGTTTTGAAATCAACTGTAGAGCCCAAGGCGCCAATGTTTTTAAAACTAGTGTTTATTGAAAATCTCCTTCAAATTCGAATCTTGTAAAATCCCAATAACAGGTGAATTCGATTATACATTATTAGAGTAGTACATTAAAAGAATAAACTTTCAACATATTAGCTAAAATGGCAATTTCAACTTTTTTGGCTTGTTTTTGAAGGTTTAAAAATTTATTGAATATGGATTACTGAACCGTAAAGTAAATGAACAATTAAGTTTACTGTCATTCAATTTAAAAGGCTGCTTTACATTTTATAGAACAATTAGAAAAATACTTAATCAGGTAGTATTCTAGTACCACATGTAATCTGATTAGATATTCACAGATATTTCTTGAAAAATAAATGATATTAAACAAACTATATATGAAAATGCATCTAAATATATATTTATATGAATCATGTTTTATTATTAAAAATTCAGAAGCTAAAATCTTACAATGTTGACAGTAGAGTTGCCCCCAGTTGCTCAGCGGTAAGTCTAAAGGCTTATAACGCTAAAAACAGGGTTTCAATACCCGTGGTAAGCACATCTCAGATAGACAGCCCATTGTGTAGCTTTATGCTTAACAACAAACAAACACAACAGCAGAGTTTATGTAATATTCTTGCCATACATGCACTAAAAACTTAGTTTCAATAACAGCTTCATTACTGAGAAACTATAATTTGGTAACCAAACCAACCAATCGTCGATGGATATTTGTATTTTGTTGTTGTAAATTAGAAATATAATAATTCTCACAAATAAACACTTGCTTAGTGAACTCATGAAGATGTGATTGTTGTAGTTGTGATTTTTATAATGTATTTTACAGGAGAGAAGAGACTAGAACTTGCAGTCATTAATCCAGGTCTGATTCTAGGCCCTCTGATATGTGGCTTTCCTAGCAAGAGTTTAGAGGTAAATAATTCTGAAAGTATTTCTCAAATGTCTGGAAATCAGAATAAAGTAGTACATGTTGTATACTTGACCATATTTAAATCTGCAGTGACTATATATAAATAAGCAGTTCGTTATATCGTTTAATATTTCAGATAACAACACCAAATAAGCAGTTTGTTATATCGTTTAATATTCCAGATAACAATACCGAATAAACAGTTTGTTATATCGTTTAATATTTCAGATAACAATACCGAATAAACAGTTTGTTATATCGTTTAATATTCCAGATAACAATACCAAATAAACAGTTTGTTATATTGTTTAATATTCCAGATAACAATACCAAATAAGCAGTTTATTATATCGTTTAATATTTCAGATAACAACACCAAATAAACAGTTTGTTATATCGTTTAATATTTCAGATAACAATACTGAATGTTAGTGTCCACGTTTGCTTTATTAAAAAACAAAAAATAGAAAAAATATTGTTTTAAACTGTATTTAATACATTAGCTTAGACGTCTTGTATTGGTGACGTTTGGCGCCTAGAAATGTTCTGCATGTCTAGATTTGACGTAACGTCTAGAACTTTAGTGATATTTAGGAAAAATATGAAGGAGTTAGTTAGTGATTCAGCCAGTCAGTTAAAGAGTTACTTAGTAAGTTAGTTCAAGACTGTAACTTTGTGTTTAAACAAAGTATAAAGTTTGAAAGTAAGTGACAGGCTAGTTTTATTTTTGAGTTAGGTCGTAACTTGTAGAATTTGTATATTACATAGTCTCTTGAATAATACGTCGAAACACAATAGAAAGACTAATATTTATAGTTACCATATAAACCATACTCTTATTCTCTAGAAAATAATACATGTAGCACTTTTATATGTTAGCTATAAATATTATATACATGTATATATTCTTAAATGTTGTAGCAAGTAATTTCTGGTTTACTTTTCATATATTATCTATAAATATTACACCACACACACACATATATATAATAGTTCTATGCTCCGGCATATCTCTGGTTTTAGCGCTGTAAGTCTACAGACTTAATGCCAAGCCAGTGGTGGCTGTAGAATTAGAGAAAATTCCAACTTTACAGACATGTTTTTCTGAGTATGTAAGTGCAGGGGCAGAAGACATTCTAGTGTTAGTTAATGTAAGCGTGGATTATTACAAAATTGCATTTTAAAATAAATATTTTGGTGTATTTTCAGGTTCTTGCTTTGCTAAATATATATATAGTTTTGTCTTCTAAATTTTACTCTAACTATTCTCATTTCTTTATTATGTTATATAACAGATATCCTTAATGTGTAGTAATTATTTTGCAGCGCGCTAAACGTTTGTACACTATTACAGATTTATTAATTACGATAACGCAGTTCATGGTTATTTTGGCACTAGTTGTTTGTCAGAAATTTTGAAAAACTGTAATGTAAAATAGATACACGTTTTTTATTTCCTAAAATTTTCAGATCGTGCAAAAATTATTCGATCGAACTATACAACTAGTTCCCAATATAAATATCTGTGTTGCTGATGTTCGAGATGTTGCACAAGCTCACTTAAAGGTCATGACCCTACCGTCTGCTGGCACACATCGCCACATCGTATGCACTGAATCTGTCTGGTGGACACGCATTGCCAACATTTTAGCTACAGAATTCCGACCTTTAGGTAACTGTGATAGTCTAATTACTGAAAGTTTCGTCTGTGTATTGGTCCTTTCTACGTGAGTATTCTTAATGTTCTTCTTGTTTTTTCTTACTACGATTTGAAAACCCTAATTCCGCCTAGGTGAAAAGTTTAAATGTTCCTTATTGTTAAAGCCTTGTCCATAAAAACTGTGTAAAATGATTTTGTATCGTGATAGTCGATAAAGGCTTCCTTGAGTAGCCCACCTAGCGGTCAATATGTGACTTGCTCAGATATTCGAAATCAGTCTTTCTTCCTTTTTGTCCCCCCCCCCCAGTGGCACAGCGGTATGTCTGCGGGCTTATACCGTTAGAAACCGGGTTTCGATATCCGTGGTAGCCAGAGCACAGATAGCCTTTTGTGTAGCTTTGTGCTTGATAACAAACAACAAAAACATCCCTTTCACGCATGTTGGGCCTGAACTATTATCAACTGTAAACTCAAAATCTGTATTTAGTGAAGTAGCAGATGAAGAACCTTGATGACAAATAAATAGAATTAAAAGAAAAACTGGTGTTTAGTTTATAATTAGAAGTAAATCACCGAAATAGCAAAGTAAGATCACCTGTGTTTTTCCCGCGCTTAACGAAGCAGACACCATCATCGTTTATGGCATTTTTGTAAGCCTCGTAAAACAATATTTTTTTATAAGCCAATAAATTTATGTCGTCTTGTACAGTTTATTTGGTATATGGTTCACATTATTGGTAAACAGCAGTTTGTATTAAATGAAATTTATGTCCATAGCAAATAAAATATTATTTACATTTTTCACTATTTTATGTTGTTGTGATTATCAATGACAAAGAAATTATAAGTGAGTGTCTACAAATTTGTAACAATAATGTTAATGGTGTGATTTTATTTTTTACAAATTGGTTGGCTTAATACTATATATACCAATGACATATAAAATAGTCGCGCCAAAAATAGTATTCACAAAAGACTTTAGTTACAGACTAAACCAACCTACGTTCCTGATATTCCTTCTGCGTTCTATCCTCAGGAAGTATTCATCATATTTCTAGATATTGTTGCAACTCGTCCATCCAGAACTTTCAACTGTATGGTAGCACCAACAGAGTAATGACATCTCGTGGATAGTTTGGGAAAAGTTACATATATCCCTGATATCCTCTTGGATTCTGGGAATTATTCACAATAACCGTTCTGAAAATATTCTATATTCCATACTTAGACTGCAATAATGATTCTGGAAATGGTCTATATTCATACTTAGACCACAACAATGATTCTGGAAATATTCTATATCCCATACTTGGACTACAACAATGGTTAGGAAATATTCTATATTCCATACTTAGACAACTACAGTGGTCCAGGAAAAATTCTATATTCCATACTTAGACCACAAAAATGATTCTAGAAATATTATATATTCCATACTTAGACTGCAATAATGATTCTGGAAATGGTCCATATTCATACTTAGACCACAACAATGATTCTGGAAATATTCTATATTCCATACTTGGACTACAACAATGGTTAGGAAATATTCTATATTCCATACTTAGACAACTACAGTGGTCCAAGAAAAATTCTATATTCCATACTTAGACCACAAAAATGATTCTAGAAATATTCTATATTCCATACTTAGACCACAACAATGGTTCTTATGACGATGCTTGTGTTATAAATTCCTTATTGCTTTGACAAGATTTTTGCTTTTAAATCACAAGCTAAAAATTCGAAATTACGAATCAGGGAACATATGTGCGTTAGTGTGTGTTTGTATGTGTATGCACTCTTGCACCTTTCTAATAGTCTAGTGATATTCCAAAGAACAAGTTCCTTTCAAAGTTAAAGAAAAACTTCATAGGATTTTAGAGATTTTCATATCCATTAATTCCCTTTTTAAGAATTTAAATATAGTTTAAGTATTTTATATAGGTAGAGTCCATGGGAAACTGTAGGCGTTGTGAATACAGCGATGGGATATTATTGGATTAATTAGCGTGTTGTGTGTGTGTCATATATAATACGTTATAATACATTTCTTGCCTTCTGTAAACTTGATTTTATCTGTTTGTGTCCTCAGGTTATCGTATCCCAACCGTTGAAGCTCCTTATTTTCTTCTGTGGATAAGCAGTTTTTTCAATAAATCCAACAACGGCATTTTTCCGCGAATTGGGAAAGAGTGTTTTTTCAACAATAAAAGGGTGAGAAAAATATGCAAGTCTCCTGTTCTAATAAACATGTGTTTCTTCTTGCGATCAAAGAAAAACAACAATGTGTAGAAATTTTAGACTTTGAATAGTTCACGTATAGTACAAATTTAATTCAGTTGAAGTATTCGATGTATGAAAGAAATACAAGATGACTATTTTGCATAGACGTATTCCCACGTTTCCTTCTTGAAGCAACCAGAACGTTCGAACCCTGCTCTCTAACTTGTTTTTATCATATTCACAAAATTTCTTTTCAATTCGCTGTTATAACTGTTAGGACGATTGTTTGTTTGTTTTTAATTATGCACAAAGCTACACAAGGGCTATCTGTGCTCTGCCCACCACGGGTATCGAAACCCGGTTTCTAGCGTTGTAAGTCCGCAGACATACCGCTGTGTCACGTGGGGGGGGGGGGGCTGTTGTTAGGACGATGGCAATAGTACACTTTTTATGGAATAGCCTGAATACCCGTTTCATTTACCAGCTGCTTGAGATATGCGTCAGTTGAATGAAAGGTATGAATTGGTATGACCTGTTGGCCTATTTCCCAGACGGAGTTTATTCTTGATTATATTGTGTACTTTTGTCTGGGGCCTGGTGACGGTTTTTGTCTTAACCTTTATGTTCGTGGATTATTCCCTGTTACAAGACGTCACAGTTTGCTTACCACAACTGGGACAGGTCTTTTTCTGGGCACGGCATGGCCAGGTGGTTAGGGCGCTCGACTCGCAATCTGAGGGTCGCGGGTTAGAATCCCCGTCCCACCTAACATGCTCGCTCTTTCAGCCGTGGGGGCGTTATAATGTGACAGTCAATCCCACTATTTGTTGGTAAAAGAGAAGCCCAAGAGTTGGCGGTGGGCGGTGATGACTAGCTACCTTCCCTCTAGTCTTACACTGCTAAATTAGGGACGGCTAGCGCAGATAGCCCTCGTGTAGCTTTGCGCGAAATTCAAAACAAACAAATCTTTTTCTGGATAATCTTGGTGCTCCACGTTGATCTACATTTCGTTGTTTTCCAATGCTATTAAATACAAGGGATATCCCACTTTTGGAAATTCTAAATCCCCGATTTGAACACATCTTTATAATCGAATGTGCGAACATTTTGTAACAGAAAGAGGTCTGTGGAATTACAACGCTAGAAACCGGGTTTCGATAACCGTGGTGAGCAGAGCACAGATAGTCCATTGTGTAGCTTTGTGCTTAACTTTAAAACAAGCAAACAAACAGACAGAAAGAGTTGTTAGCTACCCTTCCAAAAACGGTCGGCTATCACATGACTTGCTTATTTGAATAAGCAAAATTGTTTAAATATAACGTACTGAACCCCCTGTATTCGTGGCGACAAATGAACCAATAAACCACAGACAGTTTAGATTAGGTAAATAATATGTGTAAAAACAATAACTTTTGTTCATTTCTTTTCATCACCAAAAACGTGAATTTCAGTGAAAATCTCGTGTACAGGCCTAATATATTCTTTGATTAGTTATTTAAAGACGACATTGAGGCCTAATATATTCTTTGATTAGTTATTTAAAGACGATATTGAGGCGTAATATATTGTTACGTCTCCGTTTGTTAATTAACTTTCCGTAACTTCGTTCCGACGAAACTTTAGCGACACAAGTTCTTTATTTAATAAAACCGCTTCCTCATCACATACTAAAACTCTACAGATACACCAACAACCAAC